GTAAGAACAGAGAATCAAAAGAAGGAGGAGACTTTGTGGAAACGAACAGCTCGGAGAGGACATAAAGACGGCCGGTGCCATCAGAAGGTGTGCGTGTTGGTGGAGCGGCGACTCCCAGCGCACCCAGCGCTGATTGCTTGCTTTTTTTTGCCTTAAATTTAATAAAGAAAAAGATAAAGCAAATAGCATATTGTCATTTATAACATTTAGAGCTGCGGGATGGGTGCCCTGGGGACGCGAGGGTCTGCGGGTACCTGCGGAGCCTGGCCCAGCGGCGGGCATCCCGCGGCTGTGCCGCAGCCTGCGGCCGTCTGCATTCAGAGCACGCCTGCCGCCGATCTGCCTGCCTGCTCTGCTCCTGCCAGCTGGCAGGGGACTGAAGTTTACAGCAGTCCTGCAGGGCTCTAGGAAGACTTTTTAAGCCTAAGATGATGTTTTAATAAAACCTGGCTGGATTTCTTACAGATGTCAATGCGCTTGTGGCTCACAAGAGCAGAGCAGGCGAACAGAACGACAGAGGGAACAAACGGTTTGGGCGCGTCTGTCTGTCAGTCACCCGCACGTCTCAGTCTGTGTCCGTGTGCGTACAGGCACCCATTCCAACGCCGAGGGCCAGGCAGCCCTTGGTTCCAGGAGGCACCCTGGTGTGGACAACTCGTACAGTCACGCACGCGCACACACATGTATGTGTATACATATTTGCACACGTTTACTTGGGTTCCTTCTGACTTTTTTCAAATCTTTGCAGCATCAGGGTATTATGTGTGAGCCCTGGCATCTTTTCCAGACACAGTGGAGGGCCTGCTACCAAAACTGGAAACTATGGCACTGAACTCCGTCCATCATCGGGTGATAATTCCATACCTTTGTACGAGAAGTACCACTGTAATGTGTAATGCTATATAATATCATCAGCCATCAGCCAAGGGCCTGGTAATCTAAGTAAGCAAGGTGGGACAGTAACTACATCAATCAGCCTTTAGAGACGACTTTGTGCCAGTGTCATTAAAGTTGGGTTGGGGATGACCTATACCACTTTGCTAGGAGATGGTGGTTTCACCTGGCATACAGGGTGACAGGTCCTCCCAGACTCTGTTTTGCTGTGCTCACCCAACCTGGTCCCTGACCAGAATCACAGAATCACAGAATCACAGAATCACAGAATCACAGAATAGTAGGGGTTGGAAGGGACCTCTGTGGGTCATCTAGTCCAACCCTCCTGCCAAAGCAGGGTCACCTACAGCAGGCCGCACAGGACCCCGTCCAGGCGGGTCTTGAATATCTCCAGAGAAGGAGACTCCACAGCCTCCCTGGGCAGCCTGGGCCAGGGCTCCGTCACCCTCAGAGGGAAGAAGTTCCTCCTCATGTTCAGACGGAACTTCCTGTGCCTCAGTTTGTGCCCGTTGCCCCTTGTCCTGTCACTGGGCACCACTGAAAAGAGCTTGGCCCCATCCTCCTGACTGTTTTCTCAGCTCTGATCTCTTTCCCGTCTTTCTCCTGAGACATCATTTAAGCTCTTGTCTCTCTGCTGGCCAAGGAGGCATGGAGGACCCGTGATGATGCACCATGCTGGGACACAACCTCCGTCTCTAAGCAGCGCATGCCTACTCCAAAGCAAGAGTGAGAACAAGCCGCCCCACTTGCAGCTCCAGGAACAGCATTGGTCTCCTAAACATCCCTCTGCTCAGCTGCCTGGGGAAACACTGGGGAGCAGCCCCATTCTGACACAGCAAGGGTCTAGGCTGAGCTGGTTGCCCAGTTTTTATTGATGGAGAAGGATTGCCACCTTCACAGAAGAATCACAGAATCCCAGAGTGGGAGGGGTTGGGAGGGACCTCTGTGGGTCATCTAGTCCAACCCCCTGCCGAAGCAGGGTCACCTACAGCAGGCTGATCTTTAGTCAATTGATGCTACAGGTATTGGGTAGAGTTTTAAGACAAGAGTTTCCAC